GACCCCTTCACCCCTCAAAAGACCTCCACTCATTCAATGAACATTTTTCTCAGGACACTGCTTTAATTAATATGTACAGGGGGTTATGACTCAGATATCATTATCTATGAGGGATGGCTGAGTAAAACTACTAGCAACACAGATGTGCTCTTGTAGCTGCCTTGAAGTATTTATTTCTATGCTACTTTAATTCATTGTGATCTGTTGTTTTCTGTACTGCCTAGGTGGACAATCATGTTTAAGAACATGTTTCCTGAGCCTGTAGGTCCAGGATCAAATGTGTGTCTCCTGTTTACTTGCTTTTTAGATTGGGGTTAGAAATAATGTGGGCCTGCTGTCCTTCTTTGAGAAATAATGATAATTTACCTCAAGGTTTTTAAAACAAATTAGTGCTGTCAAATGGCTTAGAATATTGCAAGTTTTGTGGTAAAGATTCTAAATTTGTTAAGATTTATCAACCTTCTGTCATGTTAGTGATATGATCATTTTCATATCTCAGTCACTTGAACCAGCCATGAAAGATACCATAGAGTGAGAGTATTAAACCACAGAAACTCATTTCTCATGCATATGGAGGCTGGGTGGTCCAAGATCAAGGTGCCATATGAATCAGTTCCTGGTGAGAGCTTTCTTCCTGGTTTACTCCAGTTGTCTTTTTTCTGTGTCCTGATGTGGTGGAAAGAGCTCAAGGAAACCAGCTCTCTAGTATCTCTTCTTATAAGGACACTAATCCTATTCATGAGTGCTCCAGTCTCATGATGTCATTAGCTCCCAAAGGATCCACTTACAGTAACATCCCATTGCAGAATAGGACCTCAGCATATGAATTTTGGCCAATGCAAATATTCAGACCATATAGTCTGTGTTATACTTCGTATGTTTTTATTTTTCAATTTGTTCCATATAATGTTTCCTCTGACCTTAAGTTAATAAATTTTCTAAGTACAAACACTATTACATGTATTTCATGTCCAGTGAAGTAGATAATTAAAAGGTGATGTATCCGTATATAGAGAATTGCTCTAATGATTGCCTGTTACATAGCTGTTGGGTTGAAATCATAATTGTGATTTTTTGACTTTGTTTTCCAGTTTTTATTTTTTTTCAATTTATATTTTTGTGTGGTACAGTGTGTTGTTCCAGTATGTGCATATGACTGCACAGTGATTCACTTAGGGTAAATAGCACAGTTTTGTACCTGTTAGCTACCCCTTATCCTTCCTGCTTTCCTCCCCTCCCAGTATCTGGCAACCATTATTCTACTCTCTACTTCTCTGAAAACCACTTTTTTTTAGATTCCATATATGAGTAAGACTATGCAGTATTGTCTCTCTGTACCTGACTTACTTCACTTAACATATTTTCCAGTTCTATCCATGTTGCTACAAATGATATTATTTCTTTTTATAGCTGAATTAAGTATTCCATTGTGTATTTATACCACAGTTTTTGTATCCATTCATTCATTGATGGGTATTTAGATTGATTCCATCTCTTGGCTCTTGTGAATAGTGCTGTGACGAACATGGCAGTACAGGTGTCTTTTGATATATTGATTTCATTTCCTTTGGGTATATACCCAGTAGGGGGAGAGCTGGGTTGTAAGGTACATCTATTTTTTGTTCTCTGATGAACCTCCATACTGTTTTCCACAATGGCTGTACCAATTTATATTCTCACCAAAAATGTAGGAGGGTTCTCTTTTTCTTCACATCCTCACCAGCATTTGTTATTTTTTGTCTTCTTGGTAATACCTAGTCTAACTGGGGTGGGATATCTTGTGGTTTTGATTTGCGTTTCCCCGATTAGTGATGTTGAGCATTTTTTCATGTGCTTGTTGGCTGTTTTCATGTCTTCTTTTGAGAAGTATCCTTTATCTGTTTTTAAATTGGGTTAGTTGGGTTTTTTGCTGTTGAGTTGAGTTCTTTACATATTCTGGACATTAGCCACTTGTCTGATATGTAGTTTGGAAACACGTTCTCCTATTCTGTAGATTGTCTCTTCACTTTGATGACAGTGTCCCTTGCTATGTGGAAGCTTTTTAGTTTAATGTAGTCCCATTTGTGTATTTTTGCTTTGGTTGCCTGTGCCTCTGTAGTCTTGCTCAAAAAAGCACTGCCAATTTGTGTAGCATTTCCCCTGTTTTCTTCTAGTAGTTTCATAGATTCAGTTCTTAAATTTAAGTCTTTAATTCATTTTGAGTTGATTTTTCTGTATGGTGAGAGGTAGGGGTCTGATTTAAGTCTTCTGCATGTGGACATCCAGTTTCCCTAGCACCATTTATTGAAGAGGCTGTCCTTTCCCCACTGTATATTCTTGGTACCTTTTTTGAAAATCATTTGGCTGTCAGTGCTTGGGAATGTTTCTGGGCTCTCTATTCTGTTCCATTGGTCTATTTGTGTATGTTTATGCCAGTACCATGCTGTTTTGGCTACTACAGCTTTATAGTATATTTTGAACTCAGGAAATGTGATGCTTCCAGTTTTTTCTTGTTTGAGATTGCTTTAGCTATATGGGATCTTTGTGGTTCCATATAAATTTAAAGATGATTTTCTGTTTCTGTGAAGAATGTCGTTTGTGTTTTGATAAGAATTGCTTTGAATGTGTAGATCACTTTGGGTATTATAGACATTTTGATGATGTTAATTCTTCCAACTCATGAGTATGGGATACTTTCCATTTATTTGTGTCGTCTTCGATTTTTGTGACCAATGTTTTAGTTTTTATTGTAGAGGTCTTTCACCTCCTTGGTTAAATTTACTCCTAAGTATTTCATTTTTTTCATAGCTATTGTGAATGTGATTACTTTCTTGATTTCTTTTTTGGCTATTTTGTTATTGACATCTAGGAAGGCTGTTGATTTTTATGTTGGTTTTGTATCCTGCCGCTAAACTGAATTCATTTATTCTAGTAATTTTTTGGTGGTGTTTTTAGGGTTTTGTATGTATATGATCATGTCATCTGCAAATATGGATAGTTTGACTTCTTGCTTTCCAATTTGGGTGTCCTTTATTGGTTTATCTTGGTCTATTGTGTTGGCTAGAACTTCTAGTACTGTGTTGAATAAGAGTGGGGAAAGTGGCCATCCTTGCTTGTTTCCAGGTCTTAGAGGAAAAATGTCCAATTTTTGTCCATTTAGTATTTTAGCTGTAGGTTTGTCATATATGTCCTGTATTGTGTTGAGGTACATTCCTTCTATACCTAGTTTGTTGTGCTTTTATCATAAAGGGGTGTTGGATTTTATCAAATGTTTTTTCTGCGTCTATTGAAATGATTATATGGTTTTATTCCTTTATTCTGTTGATGTGATGTATCATGTTTATTGATTCATATGTGTTGAACCATCATTGCATCCCTTGGATAAATCCCACTTGATCATGGTGAATGATCTTTTTAATGTGTTGTTGGATTGTGTTTGCTAGTATGTTGTTGAGGATCTTTGCATCTGTGTTCATCAGGGATGTTGATCTGTATTTCCGGTGGAGGGTGTTTCTTTTTTTTACTTTTGTCTTTTTCTGATTTGGGTATGAGGGTAATACTGACCTCATAGAATGAGTTTGGAAGTGTTTCCTCCTGTTCAATTTTTTGGAAGAATTTGAGAAGAATAGGCATTAGTTCTTCTTTAAATGTTTAGTAGAATTTGACAGTGAATGGTCCTGGGGTTTTCTTTGTGGGGAGACTTTTTATTACTGCTTCAATCTCATTATTTGTTATTGGTCTGTTTAGGTTTTCAAGATCTTCAACCTTGGTAAGTTGTATGTGTCCAGGGATTTATCTATTTCTTCTAGGTTTTCCAGTGTATTCACATATAGTTGTTTGTAGTAGTCTCTTATGATCCTTTGTATTTCTGTGGTATCAATTGTAATGTCTCCTTTTTCATTTCCGATTTCATTTATTTGAGTCTTCTCTCTTTTTTTCTTCATTAGTCTAGCTAAAGATTTATTGATTTTGTTTCTGTGTTTGAAAAACCAACTCTGTTTCATTGATCCATTGTATTGTTTTTTAAATCTGTAATTCATTTATTTCTGCTCTGGTCTTTGCTCTTTTTCTTGTTTTACTGATTTGGGGTATGGTTTTTTCCTGTTTTTCTAGTCCCTTGAGGTATAATGTTAGGTTATTTGAAGTCTGCCCTTTTTTTCCAATGTAGGCATTTATTGCTGTAAACTTCCCTCTTAGAACTGCTTTTATTGTATCTAGGTTCTTGTATGTTGTGTTTTCATTTTCATTTGTCTCCAGGAATTTTGAAATCTTTTTAAATTTCTTCTTTGGCCTGTTGTTGTTTAGAACCATACCATTTAATTTCCATGTCTTTGTACAGTTTCTATTTTCCCTTTTGTTGTTGATTTCTAGTTTTATTCCACTTTGATTGGACAAGGTAATTGATATTATTTCAGCTTTTTTAAATTGTTGAGGCTTGTTTTGTGACCGACTGTGTGGTCTGTTCTAGAGAATGTTCCATTTGCAGCTGAGAAAAATGTGTATTGTGCAGCTGTTGGATGATCTGTATATGTTCATTAGGTCCAGTGGGCCTAGAGTAGAGATTACTTCTGATGTTTGCTGGTTAATTTTCTGTCTGGATTATCTGTCGTTTGCTGAAAGTGGGTTATAAAGTCCCCAGCTACTATTATGTTGGAGTCTATCTCTTCCATTAGATCCAATAGCAATTGCTTTATACAGTTGGGTGCTCCAGAATTGGGTCCTTATATATTTAGAATTGTTATATCCTCTTGTTGAATTGATCCCTTTATCATTATATAATGACCATCCTTGTATGTATATATTTTTTACTTTCCTTGGCTCAAAGTCTATTTTATCTGTGTAATTATAATTCTTTATTGAAGAATTCTGTTCCTTTTTTATTCCTAAAGATTGAAGATTATGGTTGTGAAGTTTCATAATTCTATTCCTGTAAGAATTACTTTTTGGGTAATATTATCTGTTTCAATATCAAATATTGCTTTATCATCTGTAATTAATTGGAAACCTGTTATGTCTTGTAGATATCACTCCTAAATGTGTGATCAAGGAATTACCACCAGAAGGGAAAAGTAATACAGGAGAGGTATTTCAAACAGTGATGTTGGAAAGACTTGAAAACTGTGACACTGAAGATTTTTGCCTCAGGGAAGTCAAGCATGATATATATGGAGGAATGCCAGTGATCCAGAAAGAAAATTTTACTGGTAGAGGCAATCAATATGATAGAAGGGATACAGGAAACAAACCCATTAATAATCAGCTTGTGTTAAGCTTTCAGTCCTATCTGCCTGAACTGCGGCTATTTCAAACTGAAGAGAAAATTCCTGAGTATAGTCAGGGTGAGAAATCTGTCAGCAGTGTTTCCTCAGTTTTACCACTTCAACATATTTCTTCTAGTGTTAAAAGCCACATTATTAATAAATATGGGAATGATTGTATCTATTCTTCATTACTCATGCAAGAACAGAAAGCTCATCAGGGAAAACCTTATGTTTTTAATTATGGCTCGCACTTCACTATATATCAGATAAATCATACCAGCGATCAGCCATATAAATGTGATATTTGTGGCAAGATCTGCAGTCAAAAATCACACCTTGCAAACCATCGGAGAATTCATACTGGAGAGAAACCTTACAAGTGTAATGAATGTGGCAAAGCCTTTAGTGTGCGATCAACACTCACTAACCATCAGGTAATCCATACTGGAAAAAAACCTTACAAGTGTAATGAGTGTGGCAAGGTCTTCAGTCGCAACTCACACCTTGTACTTCATCGGAGAATTCATACTGGAGAGAAACCTTACAAGTGTAATGAGTGTGGTAAAGCCTTCAGAGTGTCTTCAAGCCTTACAAACCATCGGATAATCCATACTAGAGGAAAACCTTACCTGTGGAGTGAATGTGGCAAGTTCTTCAATCACAATTTAGATCTTGAACAACAATGGAGAATTTATACTGAAGAGAAACCTTACAAGTGTAATGAGTGTGGCAAAGCCTTTAGTGTGAGATCAACACTTACTAACCATCAGGTGATCCATACTGGAGAGAAACCTTACAAGTGTAATGAATGTGGCAAGGTTTTCAGTCGCAATTCATACCTTGCACTTCATTGGAGAATTCATACTGGGGAGAAACCTTACAAATGTGATCAGTGTGGCAAAGCATTTAGTGTGCGTTCAAATCTCACCAGACATCACATAATCCATACTGGTGACAAACCTTTCAAATGTAGTGAATGTGGCAAGTCATTTTATCAGCGTTCACATCTCAATAGACACAATATAACCCATACTGGAGAGAAACCTTACAAATGTAATAAATGTGGCAAGTTCTTCAGTCAAAATTCACACCTTGCACAACATCAGATTGTTCATACTTGAGAGAAACCTTACAAGTGGAAGGAGTGTGGCAAACGAGGTCAAGCATTAATCTATATCAGTGGGTTCATACTGAAGAAAAATCATATATGAACTGTTATGTATGTGGCAGAGGCTTTTTGCAGGACTCAACTCACTAGGCATCAAAATACATGTCTTTCATGCAGCCGTGCAGACATAATATATACATGCTAAGGCTTTTTCACAAGGATCAAAACTAGAATATTGGATAATTCATACTGCCTAACAACCTCACATATGCAGTGAATGTAGTGTAAGGTCTTTTGTCAAATATTAATTTTGGAGTTATGAGAGGAATTACACTGGAGAAAAAACAGACAAATGTAGTGAATGTGGAAAGACCCCAAAAGCTTCCCAAAAAATCATCCCAGAACCATCACAAACATGATGTGATAAATTTTATCCAATTCTTAATACTCCACATCAGAGAATTTATATGAGGAGTAATGAACTAATTCAAGCTAAACCTTATGTATCACATACTACAGAATAACTATAAGACAAACTTAAAATTCATGATATATATATGAAATTGCAAGGATGCTTGCAATGGCCAGTTATTTTCAGGATATAAACTATTCTATTATTTGATGTTTCTTGAAAAGACTACTATTTATGACTTTCCAACTGGAGTTTGAAATCTAGATATTATGCATCTTTACAGGCCTTTCATTGTGCTCTCAGGGAAAGAATCAATATGAGGAAAGGGCTTACTTTATTAGGTGAAGATCATTTCTATCCAAGTTCCTAGTATGATAGTGACACTGCCCTTTAAATATTGTCTGAATTAGCATTTGGGAGGGGCTGTGAATAATGTCAAGTCATGCTTATTTACATTTAGGGCACCCTTCTCCACACAGGACCAACGAGAGTTATAGAAAAGGAATCATACCAAAAGATGGTTCAAGGCTACTTCAAAAAGTTCATGGAAAAATGAAGCTCAAAGATAACACTAATCTTTCCATGGCTTTTTGAAGTACCCTTATAGAGCAGACCAAGACTTTATGAGACTGGGATTTTTATGGGGAGAAACTAATTGATTACTAGTGACTGAGTATGTAGTGGAAATAATGCAGGGGCAATGGTGGACACCACCTTGGTTGAATTCACTAGCTTACTGTATAGCAATGACTGATGAAAAATTAGTCTTATTCTTGGAATTGAAGAGAGCTGTTATCAGAGAGGAGAGTTTAATCAGAACCAGAATAACATATTCTTGAGTAGGATTCATATTTAATTTCTGGCATTAGACTTTTCTATTTTATTCAGAATGTATTTTAGGTCTCATGTTTTAATAAAATTTAATCTTTTCTTGTAACTGAATGAATCATGTTCCTTCTACCAACATAGTTTTATTTCATCTCAGCAGGATAGTTTATAACAAAAACTTAAGTACACCATCAGGCTTTTAAGGTTGAAGGATCTATAACAATTGTTTTCCATTGTAGAGCCTAATATCATACAATCTGGGAAACATACTCATTCTTTGCACTTGGGTTATTCTCTCTGCACTCTGCCATGGGACACTTAGGTGGGTATAATGAAAAGCCCATACCAGTGCATGTTCTGATTCTGAGACCCTAAAACCTGCATCCCTGTTGATGAATATGTACCATATTACTATATTTCTACATGCCTTTTTCCTAAGTTCCACGATTCATGGTATGTACCTTGATTTACAAGAAGGGAAAATAGAAATATAGTAAGAATATTGGAAATTTATGAAGTAAAAAAATAAGGATAACAATAATGTGGTTTTGGGTTTTGTTTTTGTCCTTAGAGTAGTCAGTGAAATAATTGGAAAAGATCAATGTTCATGAATTTCCTCTTAATGAACATTCACAACGGGAATTTTTTGTGTGTGGTTTATTATGTAAACTAGGGATCTTATATATTCATCCTCATAACATTTTTAGCAATTCGTACGTGTGATCACTCCACTGGAACTAGCTAGAACATCACCCAACATTTGGCTTGGAAGTGGAGGAGGAGGATGTATGCAGAAGTGTTATGAGAATGTTTCTTACATCATGAGGATTTCTGGGAAATAGGGTAGACTTATCAAGCTAGTCAAAAGTGGCTTGAGAGAGCAGGGAGGGATTATTGGTGTGCTATGGTGGTTACCAGGTGGGCTGTAGTGAGGGTACCTTGTAGTGGTTTGAACTTCCAGCTGGTATTGAAGGGAGTGAATGAGCTTTATTATAAGCTTGCCCAGATGGGCCAAATAGGAAGAGTGTATAGTGGGTTTAAAAGGTGTTAGTCAAAAATAAAAAAATAGAGTTACATTGATTGGATTGTGAATAATGAAAACAGCCTTCTATCCCTCAAATATCCCTTTTTGTCTCTTTTTCATGTGGGATTTAGTGTTACCTTTCTTTTTTGTTAATGTCTTTGTCTAGTTTTGGTATCATGGTAATCCTGAACTCATAAATCGAGTAGGGAAGTGATTCCCTCTTCTACATTCTGGATGAAATTGTGTACAATTGCTGTTAATTCTTTACATGTTTGATAAAATTGTCTTGTGACAATCTATGCCTGGACATTACTTTATTTGTTGTAATTTTTTTTTTTTTTTTTTTTTTTTTTTTTTTGGGGGGAAAAATGTAAAAAAAGCCCTCCCCCCTTAAAATTTTAAGGGGGGGGTTTA